GATATTGGTCTGTAACTTTCTTTTAAGTGCTATCTTTGCCTGGTTTAGGTATCAGGGTTATGCTGGCTTCACAGAAAGTTTGGTAGTGACCCTTCCTCTTCTATGATTTGAAGAACTTGACTAGGATTGGTATCAACTCTTCTCTGAATGTTTGGTAGAATTCTCCAGTGTAGCCATCTTGTCCTGTGCTTTTTGTTGTTGTTGTTGTTGGCAGTTTTTTGATGACATCTTCAATTTCTTCCTTTGCAATGGGTCTGTTTAAATTTTCTACCTCTGTGTTAGTCTGGGTAGGTAGTGTGTTTCTAGAAATTTGTCCATTTCATCTAGGTTTTCAAACCTGTTTGAGCACTATTTTTCATATTAATCCGTTATGATCTTTACCTCTGTTGGATTGGTTGTAATGTCACCAATTTTCATTTCTTAATTTGATTATTTCCCTCTTCTGATTTTTTCTTTTGTTAATCTAGCCAGTGGTTTGTCTATTTTACTGATCCTTTTAATGAACCAACTTCTGGTTATGCTGATTCTTGCTATTGTTTTTCTATTTTCTATTTCACTTATTTCTGCTCTGACTGTTTATTATTTCCTTTTTTTCTGTTAGCTTTTGCCTTCTTTTCTATTTGTTTAAGTTGTTGGTTACAATTAATGATTTTGGATCTTCTTTTCTAATGTGTGCAGTTACTGCTATGAGTTTCCCTCTGAGTACTATTTTTGCTGTGTCCCAATGGTTTTGATATGTTCGGTTTTAATTTTCATTTGATTCTAGGATTTTTTAATTTAACTTTTGATTTCTTCTATAACCAAATAGATTTTTAGTAGTGTATTATTTAGTTTCCATGTTATTTATTTTTTCCCTTACTTTTCCTGTTGTTGATTTCTAGCTTCATACCCTTATGGTCAGAGAAGATGCTTTGTATGATTTCAGTTTTTCAAATTTGTTGAGACTTGTTTTGTGTACTAGCATATGGTCTATTCTGGAAAATGATCCATGTGTGCTGGACAAGAATGTGTATTGTTCTGATGCTGGGGAGTGTTTTATATATGTCCATTAGGTCCAACTGGCTTATGGTTTCATTTAAGTTCTCAAGGTCCTTAGTGATCTTCTTTTCAGATGTTCTGTCTATAAATGAAAGTGGTGTGTTGAAGTCTCCTATTGTGGATTGTCTATTTCTCCTTTCATATTAGTCAGCATTGTTTCATGTATTGTGGTGCAGTGCTGTTAGGTGCATATACGTGTGTGTGTGTGTGTTATATATATATATAAATGTTATGTCTTCTTGCTGGATTGAGCGTTTTATTATTATATCCTTCTTTATCTCCTGGAATAGACTTTGATTTAAAGTCTATTTTATCTGATGTAAGTATAGCCACTCTTTTTTGTTTACTGGTTGCATGGACTATTTTTCTCCATCCTTTTATTTTCAGTCTGTTTCTGTCCTTATGTCTAAGGTGTGTTTCTGGAGACAGCAAAAGGATGGATCTTTTTTTAAAAATTCATTCTACTACTTTGTGCCTTTTGCACGGGGTGTTTAGACCATTCACATTTAAAGTTATTACTGAAAACAAAGTGTCTACCTCACGCATTTTGCTATTTGTTTTTTGAGTGTTTCATATCTTCTTTTTTTATTCTGATTTTTCTGTTTTTGTTTGTATTCGGCTGCTTTCTTGTAATGATCCTTTTTGCTTTCTTCCTTCTTTTCTTCTGAATGTTTTCTCTTGATTTCTTAGTTGCTATCACATATATTAATTACACATCTTACAACTGCAACAATGTTCAACATATGAACAGCAAACACACAACCTTAACATAAATCTACTTCTGATATGCTCCTCCCTCCCCCATTTCTGTTAGTAAGCCTCCATTAACATGAATATACAACTTACATTCACTAAGTTTATTTTGCCCTTATTTCTTACAAACTTGATGTTGTATTGTTTGTAGGATTTAATTATTGAGTATTTAATTATTGAATATATCTTATACTTGGTTCTTATGATTGCCTGCATTGCTGAGTTTTTTTTGGACATCTCTATTTCTTATTTTTCCCCTTATATAGATACTATTATTTATTTAATGCTCTTGCCTTTCCATTTTTTAGAGTACTTTCTTGAGTAATACTTGCAAAGTTGGTCTAGTAGTAGCAAATTCCCAGAGCTTCTGTTTGCTTGGGGATGTCTTGATTGCCCCCTCATTTATGAATGATAATTTTGCTGGGCAAAGAATTCTTGGTCGGCAACTGTTTTTGTTCAGTATTTTATATATGCAGCTCCACTGTCTTCTGGCTTCTAGAGTTTCTGGGGAGAAATCCATATTGATTCTTATGAAAGTACCCTGGTATGTTATATTGTGTTTTTCTCTTGCTGCTTTTAGAATTCTTTGTTTTTGGTATTCAAGAATTTTATTAGGATATGGTGTGGAGTTGATCTTGTTTTGTCTCTTCTGATTGGGGTTCATGTAGCTTCCTGTATTTGAAGGCTTGTTTCTCTGTTCAGGTCTGGGAACTTCTCTCTGATTACCTCTTGGAAAATTGTTTCTGTGCCTTTATTATTGTCATGGTGCTCTGGGATTCCAATAATTTGAATGTTAGATTTCTCAGTTAAATTCCATATTTCTGTTTGAGTTTGATTACTTTTCTTTGTTCTCTTCTCGTTTCTCAAGACTTGATAAGTTCAGTTATTTTGTCTTCTAGTTCACTTACTCCATCCTCTGTTACGACTCTACTGTTGAATGTTTTTCTTGCTTTTTCTAATTCAGTTGCTTTATTCTTCAGTTCCACTAGCTTTTTTTTTTTTGATGTTTTCAATTTCCTTGTTGAGTTTTTCATTTTGTTCCTCCGTTTGTTTCCTGATCTCTGCTAGTCTGTTTTCTTTGTGCTTTTTGCTTTCTTTAAACATATGTAGCACCATAGTCTAAATGTTATCAAATCTTTGCATTAGTCTGGCCTCTAGAGGAAAAATTTTCTCATCATGTTTTGCTTTAGATTGGTCCTTCTCTTGTGATTTTGTGTGTTTCACAATTTTTTGTTGAATTTGGGCCATTTTGTTGTTATTATTACTTACTTTAAATTTTGTATTCTGGTTTTTGTGGGAAAGCTTTCTGATTAGGTACCCTGGTGGTGCAGCGGCCAAATGCCTGGCTGTCAACCAAAAGGCCAGGGCCGCAACGACCAGCTGCTTTGTGGGAGAAAGATATGGCAGCCTGCCTCTGGAAAGACTCATAGCCCTGGGAACTCCATGGGACATCTCCACTCCGCCTCACAGGATTGCTGCCCCACAGGATCACTATGAGTCAGAATCAATCCAGCAGTAGTGAGGTTGGTATCTTCACCTGAGAACTACCAGAGGGCACTCTTATCCTTAGGTTTTTTTCAGTGCTGATTCAGGAGTTCTGGATGCTTGATCTCTGGAATTTAATACACATGCGCGGGAGTAGGGGTTAGCTGGTTGCGGATGCTAGCATAGGTGATGGGGCTCAACTTTCCTGTGGCAAAGGTGAGGGGTTCCCTATGTCTTTCACTCATGGGTGCCCCTGCACAGGCTCTTCCATGATGTCCCATTATGAGTAAGGAGCCAGCCGTTTCCTTCTATTCACCCATGAATCTGAAGTATGCCCCCACCCTGCTGACCTTGCAATTCCTCCTGGTCCTAGTGCCCATTCATCTCAAGCCTCAGCGAGACTCAACAGCATTCTCATGGCCAATTTGTACAGCCTTAAAAAATCAGGCTGCAGCTTCCTCAGATTAGCTCTCTTTCTGTGTTCCCTGTTTGGGGTACTGCCCAGCCCCGTCTCAAAATGGCTGCAATGAGTGAATGCTTCTGATGTTAGTAATAGGTTCTCCCAGCTTCTGTGCCATCCCTGCTCCTCCTGTTCCCTGCCTCTGGACTCACCCTGACTCTCAAACACCTCAGCTTCTATCTGGAGTTCTGAAATCTCAGTCTGTGCTTGTTTTTATTAACTGTTCAGTGGGTTAGCTGCTGGGGGAGTAAATGGGAGCATCTACTCACTTTACCATCTTGCTCCGCCCTCCCCTTATACTACTCCTTCATGTAAATTTAAAAATTTCCGTAATAAATTTTTAAAATGAAGGGCAAAAGAATTGTTCTTTGATCTCAGTAGCTTTTTAAGAACCTGTGTGGGACAGCTCGGACACAGAACAGAGGGGGCATCTCACTCTGTCAGTAAGGAAAACCAGAGCACATCTCTTTGTGGGCACATGGAAACCAGTCTCAGGCTGAGCTTTGCAATGATGGACTGCTGCAGTAACGGCCCCCATCAATCACACTCTCCTGTAACCAAACCCTGGGTGCTCTGTTTACACTGTAGAATCTGCTTTGGCCAGTAGGATATTACCAAACACAATCCAAGAGAGACTTGAAATGTGCTTGTGCACTGGGGTTTGACCTCTCCTGCTGCTCCAGGAACCCTGCAACTGCCACAATGTTTATAAGCCCAGACTAGCCTGCTAGACCCATGCGGCCCAGTCACCACATAACCACAGCCAACACTAACCACCAGACATGTGAGTGGAGCCATCCTGGATCAACTAGTTCCAGCCAAGTTGGTCCAGATGAGAAGAGCCACCCAAGCAACTCTGAAAGTTGAGAGAAATACTGTATCTTCACTGTTTTAAGCTACTACAGTTGGGGTGGTTTGTTCTCAGCAAAAGCTAAGTAAAATAATGTATAAATCAAAAGGTGTAGGTTAAAAAAAAATAACAATTTACTTTTTTAAATGAAAGTGACTAGCTTGGTCTGTTTGAATTTCATCAGAGAGAGAGAAGATGATTATAGATAAAATATGGAAAGAAACAGATTGGAATTGGAAATGGATTGGGATCTCCCTCTGCCACTTAACCCTCCATGCCTCCATTTTCTCCCCTTTGAAATGAAGATAAAATTACTGCTTACTACACCAGGGTACTCTGAAGAGTTAAACAATTTATGTCCAGCACAATGAAACCTCAAAAAATGATAGCTTTTAATGGTGGTTGTCTCCTTACCCATCCACAAGTCCTTGCTGTTTAATAATCCTGTGTGACTCCTCCCTAGAGATCCTGCCGTGAAACCAGTGTTGTGTCCTATGAATCACTGTTGGAGGGAAGACAAGAGGAGGTTAGGGTCTTGGAATCCTTGCAGAACTGTCTTCTTCAAAGGACAACAAACTTTTGATAAACTTGGAGCCCCGTGACTCCCACTGTGGACACCTTCTGTGGTGCACACACTTCAAATGCTGCTTGGGGAGGTGTGGGAGCTATTTTATTATCTTAATGTACAAAGAGATCATGCCAATGTGTCATGTTTACCTGTACTTAGGGTAGAAGGGTGGAGGGGACTTTGGCTACCTAGGATATTCATCCGTGTGCTTCGCTTCTGCAAAAGAAATCCCCGTATTAGCACTAAAGACAACAGACTGACACAACCAACAAGTCACTGATACAGTCAACCTCAGGGCACATGGCAGGTGCTGGACCAGAGAACACCTCAGGTCAGGAACACTGGCCCTGACACATAGGATGAAAGCCACCTGGAGCCCCTAGCTAACCACTGAGAACAAAAAGCTGTTAAAAAAAAAAAACAAAAAACCTGGAAACATCTAGCTAATACTGTAAGTCTTTAACTAAAAACACTTGTTTTTGACACAGAAGACATACGAAGAAAATGTCATGAAACTGATAACTCTTAGAAGAAAATCATGAGCAAATTGATAAATTTAAGTAGTTCGTTAAAACACTGGTTGATAGACTCCCTTATCTTTGGGGACTTTCTCCTTTCTCAAATACTAGGAAGCTGAAGGACAGAATGCTTTCCAAGCCAGTACCCCAGGCTCATGTTTTATACACGGTCCTGAAATCTCAGAAAAACTTGAGAATTGGGTGACATTCTTCCTATTTGGAGATGAAGATCTAAGCCTCAGAGGTGAAGGGACTGTCTAGGGCCACGTAGCTATCAGTGGTGGAGTCATGATGTGAGGTTGCTAGCCTTACGCAGGACCGAGCTCTGCCCACTCCCCAAACTGCCACTGATGGGCTCATCAGTAGAGCATGCTTGCTCCTCTCCTGCCCCTTCTATGGAGGCCAGGGCACAGGGTGGCAGTGGGCATGCCTGGTTGCTGGCCATGTGGGGGAGCCCAGATTGCCAATCACCTCTTGCCATTGAGAACTCAGATGCTCCCAGCCAGCCCCTGACCTGCTTGCCAACACCCACAAAGAAGACTCAAGTGGTGAGGGATGTGACCTTGAGGGAGTCTGTCCAGATGGGCACAGCCAGGGCTTACCCTCCAGGCGTGGCCTTCTTCCAGGGCTGCACTCTGGGCTTCAGCTGGATTCTCGATCACTCTTCCTGTTTGCCCAGAAAAATCCATAGCCACGAGGGAGTTCTCAGAGACACTGCGCTGGAAAGTGAAGGCCACAGTTTCTTAAAATGCAGCAAAACAAGCCACAGCAGCACATAGGGGAGTCTTGGTATGAAGCCATCATAAAGATGATGATGAAAGGGAATACTTCACCCTCACCTCTGAACTCTTAAGTTTCAGGCTGAAAATTTACTGGTTTGGGCTGACAATTCACTGACAGAAGGGCCTATAAGCTATAAATGGCTTTGATTTTTCTTTAGAAGAATAAGAAATTTTCCAATTCTTCAGCAGTACTCAAAGGCTGGCACCAGTAGGGTTAGGGCAGCTGGTTCTAGTAGGATTTGGACTGTATGGTCTTTCCCAGGCTGCCTATCCTGTACTAAAACACATCAAAGAAATGAAAATAATCAGGTATGAACCCAGTACTTACTAACAACAAAATCATTCCTTGAGGTATGTTCAGGGAAATACTAGGACTCTTTCTGTGGCATAATTTGACATCTCAAAGGAATAGATAATGCAGGATCTTTTAAGATCATATTTTGAGAGGATGAACTGTTTCCACATCTTTGGGAAGCAAAGACAGGCATGAAAACACAGGCATCCATGAAGTCTCTAAATTCTCACCAGAGAATGACTAGCATAATGGTCAACAGCACCCATGGATTCCAGGGGTTAAACGAACAGGAGTTAAAGGCAAGAAAAACAGTTTCTTAGTAGAGCTGAAAGTTGCTGTTCACATTTTTAAGCCCTTAAGTAAAGCTAGCTACCTAAACAATCTTGAGGGGGATGTGTGGAATTTGCCCCCAGAAATTACATTGCTGAAACTACAATATCTATTTCTTGGGAAATGGAATATTGTGGGACACAATGCTTCCCTGAAATGCATGTGATCTCTCTGGAGCTTCTCTTGGCAACCTAGACTGAAATGAGGCATCCACAATACCTACTGAAGCAGCTGTAAAGGAAATGTAACTTGTGCAGGTCTCAGCTGTACTTACCACTGGAGTTGAGAAGGGAGAGAGCAAGGTTTTCCTCTGCTGAGGGATCCTGTAATTCTGGTACAGAAGCATTCCATACTGAAGGGGAAAGGCCTGAGTCAGTCATCAGTGCTTTGTTAGCCCCCAAAGCTTCAGAACCCGGCAAACCCCAAGACAGTGAAAGGCCATGTCAAGTACAGCACAAACACCCTGTTACCAGTCTCTGTGCACTGAAGTACAAACATACAATATGGAACACTTCTCTCTCTTGGTCTTTGTCATGGATTGAATTGTGTCCCCCAAAAATATCTGTCAACTTGGCTGGGTCATGATTCCCAGTATTGTATGATTGTGTACCATTTTGTAATCTGATGCGATTTCCTTATGTGTTGTAAACTCTATCACCATGATGTAATAAGATGGATTAGCGGCAGTTATACTGATGAGGTATAGGGTCTTAAGCCAATCTCTTTTGAGATATAAAAGACAGGGGCGGGCAGAGAGACATGGGAACCTCATACCACCAAGAAAACAGTGCTGGAAGCAAAGCGTGTCCTTTGGACCTGAGGTTCCTGTGCTGAGATGCTCCCAGACCAAGGGAAGACTGATGCATCACAGGACCTTCCTCCAGAGCCGACAGAGAAAGAAAGCCTTCCCCAGGAGCTGATGCCCTGAATTTGGACTTGTAACCTACTGGACTGTGAGAGAATAAATTTCTCTTTGTTGAAGCTATCCACCTGTGATATTTCTGTTATAGCAGCAATAGATGACTAAGACAGTCCTGTACTATAGTCACCCACAGAAGAATAACAACTCACTGATTTTGGAACACTGTGGATGGGAATAAAGAGGGCAGTAATAGACATAATAACAATAAGATCAAGAACCTTACTGAGAGTTGCTATGTACTCTTCTAAGTGCTTTATGTTATTCTTTCATTTAATTCTCTCCATGTTATGAAATAAGTAGTTTTATTATTATTCCCCTTATACAGACAAGGGAAGTAAAGCACAGAGAAGTGAAGCAAGTTGCTTAAGATAATAGTAAAGTAAGGATTCAGGATTTCAAAGTACACAGCCTGTCCCCAAACCAGTGCTCTTCCTAACCACCAGGCTTACTCTCTAAAACCAGCTCAGTGGTTCATGCTTTATATACCCAGCCAATAAATAGTAAAGGTTTTGCAAAGTTACATATGCTTCCAACATCCCAACTTAAACTCCTAAATTATCCACAAACCACTTAGGAAAAAACAAAAGAAAACAAACAGTCAGGAAGAAGAAAGAAAGTTATCAAGTGGATTTCGTCTCCCTCTTGACCATCCTTTGTAGGATGTAACCTCATTTCCAGATCTAGGTTCTACAGCCATGTACCAATTTGTAAAATAAGTATATTAAGAACATGATGAAAAGGTCTAACATAGGTACAACTGCACTCTCATGACAAAAGCAAGAACAAGGAAGAAGACATATTTAAAGAAATGATGGTTAAAATTTTCAAAAATTGACAAAAAGAAATCAAGCTAGAGATTCACAGAGTAGGAAAAATTAAAAAAAAAAAAAAATCCACACCCAAGCATCTCATGACAAGTTTGGAGAAAATACCAAAAGTAACCTGGGAAAAATAATTATTTTCACAGCAGCAGCTAGAAGACATACAACTATTTTTTTTTTTTTAAACATAAATGATGAGAGCCAGAAGACAATGGAATGTGTGAAAATGCCGACAAAAATAACCGCCAATTTAGGATTCAATGGAGCCCTCGTGGCACAGTGGTTAAGAGTTCGGTTGCCAAGCAAAAGGTCGGCAGTTCGAATCCACCAGTGCTCCTTGGAAACCCTATGGGGCAGTTCTACTCTGTCCTATAGGGTTGCTATGAGTCGAAATCGACTTGATGGCAACAGATTTGGTTTGGTATTTTTAGGACTCAATAACTTGTGAAAACATTCTTCAATAATGAAGCTGAAATAAAAAATACCAGAAGAACATAAATTGGGAGAATTTAATTGCCAGGAGGCCCATACGAAGAGAACTGCTAAGTGTAATTATTCTGTTCTCAAGAGAGAAGAATGGAAATTCAGTAAAGAGTAAGGTGCAAATACGTAGGTAATTATAGTAAAAAATTGAGCGTATAAAACTACAATGTGTTTTAAGGAGTTTAAAATATACAGAGGATTAAAACACATGACAAGAATATTTCAAAAAAGGTGATGGGGTAAATAGCATCAAAGAGTCCTTATATTGTCCTGAAATTGATAAAAAGTACTAAGTTATGCTATGTTTTAATAAGTTAAAGATGTTGCGGTATCTAGGGTTACCACTAAAAAATGGTAAAAAAAAATGCGTAAAGTAATAGATTAATAGAGGGAAAACAGAAATAAAAATGCCTGATGAATTCAAAAGAGAGAAAAAGGAATACAGGGCAGGTAGGACAAATTGAAAAACAAATAACAAATGGTAGAATTAAATACAAATATTAACAATCACATTAAATGATAAAATTAAATCACAAAAAATACTCCAAATAAAAGGTAAAGATTATTGGGGGGGGGGGACCCACACAACACAAATTATGCTTGTAAGAGACAAACCCTAAATATAAGGACCCAGAAAGGTAGAAAAAGATGGGGAAAAATGTAAAAAGCTAATCAAAACAAAGCTGAGGTATGCCAGTTTCATGTATGAGACAGGGTGAGACAGAGCGAGAGAGAGAGAGAGAAATAATTGAACTTTGCCCAGAGAAAGGTTAGGCCTTTTGTCCCCAGCTCCTGGAAGGCAGCCTCCAATTCTTTGGAATATCCAGCCTGATAAGTGTCTTTGTTTACCTGGGGGGCCTTGGGCCAAGCCACACAGTCTAGCTAATATGGGATTTACAGTGGGAGCTCAGGCTACACAGTATCAGCTCAAGCTCTGGAGAGGCTAGAGTTGTATCTACACGGGTGATCCCCAATAAAAACTCTGGACACTAAAGCTCAGGTGAATTTGCCTGGTTGGCAATACTTTGTGTGTGTTGCCCCACACGTTGCTGGGAGAAGTAAGTGCTGTCTGCAGGACTCCAGAGAGAGAGAGGACAACTGGAAGCTGGCACCTGGAACTCTTGCAGACGCTACCCTAGGCACCTTTTTCTGTTGTTGACTTTTGCGTCTCTTCACTGCAATACACTGTAACTGTGAGTATAAGAGCTTTGCTGAGTTCTGTGAGTGCTAACAAATTATTGAACCTGGGGGTGGCCTTGGGGACCTCTGAAACTTATATGTATACATATCTATGTGTGTGTGTGTTATAAATACATTTTCCCCTTCCTTTTTCTCTCTTTGCCTTTTATTTGATGATCTTTTTATAATGTCTTGAAAGGGATACTTAGATCACGGATTTTACACCTTATTCTTTTCTAATATATATATGACAAAAGTTTTATTTTTTAATTTCTACATTAGTTGTAGTTTTCTTGTTATACTTTTATAATTATTCAGTTCAAAATATTTCCTAATTTTTTTCTGTATTTCATCCTTGACTCGTGAGTTGTTTAAATAGTTTGCCTCTTTAGGTGTAAAACTGTATTATATCTGTATTGTGTTCTTAAAATATTTTGACTTTAATCGCTGGAGAAGTTGAATGTTTTCCACTTCTATTCTCTGCAGTTCCTCAACTAAGGGTTCAGATTCTCTTCGAATTTACAAATATTAGGGCCTCGAGGGTGGTAGTTTTAGTTGTATAAGCTCTTTGTATTGTTTAGATAAAGATCCTTTGTGTATCAGCTATAATAAACATTATTTACCTTATCCTTTCCTTTTTAATTTTTATTTTAGTTGAGTGGGTTCTAAAGAAAGGTTTATAGTCCAACCATACTATCTCTCTCCTTTATATTTGTCTCTGTTGCCTCAAAAGAAGAAAGTATGACAACAGAAATACTTTCTTTCTTTTGTTATATATATATATCTTACTTCTTATTTACATCTAATTGCATATAACACTCCCAAACGATAAAGAAAAAAAGTGACGGTTGCTGTTTCACCTGTTTGTAAAGGACTTCAGAGATGATTCCACACAGGTATAGTAGCAACTTGTGGCTGTGCAAAGTCAGTGCTTGCCAGGTATTTTTTCCATATATGATGTTAACCCAATAAATAATATAATGTCATAAGTAACATAAATAAGCTGTTAAGACTTTAAAATCCCAAATGGGGTTGAGTTTCATGATCTAATGCAGGTTCTATGTTGCCATTTATCTATCGTGCATTAACAGCTTCCCTTTATTACTTCCAACTTTTCATTCCTGTAATAAACCTTTAGTGAGCCTTGGTGGTGCAGTGGTTAAGAGCTTGGCTGCTAACCAAAAGGTTGGCAGTTTGAATCCACCAGCTGCTCCTTGGAAACACTATGGGCAGTTCTACCCTGTCCTATAGGGTCGCTATGAGTCGGAATTGACTTGACAGGAACAGGGCTTTTATTTATTTATTTAATCATACTATCCCTGACACTTCTATTAAATGCTAAATTCCTTCATCTGGTAATTTAATTAAAGCTTTTACATTTACATCCTTACGTGAGATGGTATATAATTTATACATGTATATATATATATTTTTGGAGGGGAGGCTATCTTTATCAAGGTCTAGGGTCAGGTCAAAGAATGATTTAGGGATCTTCATTAGTGGCAAGTACTGGGCTCAGCTTCAGAAACGAACTGAACAGTATTCTCTAGCCTGAAGTAGCTATAATCTTGTGGAAGACACGCACAGATCAAATAAGTACTATTCTCAGTATGGATATTAATGGGGTACCAGTACCAGCTGTCATTGAGTTGACTCTGACTCGTGGCAACCCCATGAGTGTCAGGAAGAATGGTGCTCCACAGAATTTTCAATGGCTGATTTTTTGAAGCAGGCTGCCAGGCCTTTCTTCTGACATTCCTCTGGGTGGACTTGACTCACCAACCTTTCAGTTAGCAGTCAAGCACTTAAATGTTTGCGCCACTCAGGGGGCTCCTTATTAATGTGGAGAGAATTCTAACTATCTGGAGGGTGAGACGTGAGCGTTCACCTAAGCCACATCTGACCAGGCTCTTGAAGGACAGCATAGCCCCGGGAGTGCGAAGGTGA